CCGGTGGATCGGTAGACGTGGTCCAGTAAGTTGGCCTGCTCTATCACCTGATCTTACGCCACCAGACTTCTTCCTGTGGGGTTGCTTAAAGGAAAAAGTTTACGCTGCAATTCCTACAACTCGGGAGGACATGGTGGAGCGGATCAGGAAAGCCTGTGCGGCGATACCGCTCGACATGTTGGCGCGTTGTGTGCCAGAATTCAATACCCGCATTTAAAAATGTGTTGAAATGGAAGGACGGCATTTTGAACATTTGTTATAAATTGTTTTCAGAGCCGACTATTGTTGATTTAATGTTAATTTTTGTTTTTCAAACGTTTCAAATAATACATTTTACAAGGAAACCCAGTTTTCTTAAATTTTGAATTACAGCGCCATCTGTTGATAAATTGAAAAAAAGTTTTAAATAAAAGTTATTCATTTTTTTATGTACTACTAAAATCTGTGAAAAAATTCGGGTCATTCCATTTGACTTTCCAAAGTTACCCCCCCCTTTCACCCTTAAGGAGGGGTAGGGGGTAGCTGGCGGTAGCACCAAATAATGTCCCCTTTTATTTAAGACATTTTTCCGTAAAATGCGTATTTCTCGAGATATTGAGCTGTCTCAAGTTAAAAGAAACACCCTGTATAATAATAATAATAATAATAATAATAATAATGTTTATTCATGTGGTAACATACAAAATGTTTTACATTTGTCAAATAAGTACACATTCCAAATGTTTAAAGAACAGATAAATACTGTAAAAATACAAATAAATAAATACTATAAAATACAAGATTAAAATACAATATTAAAATATATAAAACGATTACAATATACAAAATGTGCAATGAAAATTAAAATAGAAATAAAAAAACTAGGTAAAATTTACAAAAAATCATTTATGTTATATAATGCCTTTCCTATTAGGAGTTTTTTAATGTAAACTTTAAAGTGGTTTAGATTTAATTGTTTTACATCTTCAGGTAATTTACTATAGAATTTTGGCGCATAAAAAGTTGTTGCTATTTGCGACTTCTGGAGTCTAACATATTCTGTTAAAATGTGGTTTTTATTCCTGGTATCATAATTATGGATATTAGATTGCAACACATATCTGTCAGAGTTAAGTTTATCAGTATATAATTTTAGTAGATCATGTACACAATTCCCTCTGGTAATTCTAATATCACAAACTTCTGCGTCATCAAGCACATCCGGAAATTCACAAAAAACTCATTTGTTTCAGTTGGATCTGTAATTAATTTTTAAACATCCCTGTGAACTACATTTAAATTTTAATAATAATAATAATAATAATATAAGTCTTTATTGAAACATTTTACATTTTCAAACGGCGAAGTTCAGCGTGTTTAAAAGAAAACATCTGTTCTTCCACTTAACCTTAAAAAAAACTTACATTCTTTGCTTTATTCTGAGTCAAAGTCAAATTCATCCACATCCTCCGTACTTACTCTACGAATTAAAGACAACATACTATGCATTGGTCTTGAAGCGCTCCCAGTTAAGACCTTGAGTTTGAAGCCGTTGACGAAGAAGCTGCCGGTTCATTTATTCGAAGTTGGTGTCCACTATTTATTGCACTTTGTGCAGCGCTTCGATAGCCTGACAAGGGGCTGGAAACTGCTAATTTTTCTATCACTGGTAGGTCACTAGGAAAGTCGTTGTTTGGAAGTACAACTCTTGTCCATTTGCTACATCAACTATACATGAAATGCGTTTTGATTTATCCATCCGTCCTATCCTAAAGCCACACATCATCAGCAGGTTCTGAACATTGGGTGAATAAAGAACAACAATGTCGTCCATAATTTCTTCGATGGAAGCTGTTCTATATATTTCAATATCTTTATCACCCATACCTGAAATAGGTATAGGTATGTCAGTTTTTACAAAGATATACCAAACTTGTATGATTACGCAAAATTATAATAATAATATTAAAATAAAAGTTAAAATAATTGTGGCTAAGGTGCTCATAGCGTTACAAGTTTTTGATTTTTTTTATATAAATATTTGTTTAATAACTTTACCACCCTGTATCTCGAAAACAAAGCTTTAAAACCAACAAGTTCATATAATCCTTTTTTGATATCGAGTCCTACTATATTTTCCCGATTAAAATCAAAGACATCCTGTATATTTAAACAAAGACGGATGTACTTATATTTTTTTATAAAATAAACATTAAACTCATACATATAAATTGTTGAGTGCACTCCTTTTATTGTGATTAAAATTAAAAAAAATTTAAAGTGGGTTACGATTTTAAAAAATACAAAAAAGAAGCTACAAAATTTGTAGTGGAAATTGAGTCACTGTTCAAGTCCGTTATTGTTTGTAAGCATGTTGTGTTTTTAAATATTCATTTATTTTTGGTCAAATTAATCACAATAAAAGGGGTTCACTGAACAATTTAAATGCACATATCTCGAAAACAGTTGAAGCGACATTTACAAAGTGTAGGTACCTTTTTCGCAATAAAGAAAAAAAGGAATATTTTTATTCAAGAGGCGAAAAAAAGATTTGATCATTTAAACGTATGCAATGTGTTGCAGACAGCGCCCTCTACAATCTACATTAATAACACTGGCCGACAGCCATTTTGGTGCCGAATCCAAAAATGACCATCATTTTTCTCAATCAACTCTTGTTTTTGCGATGTAGACAAAAAACCATTTTTTTATATGCGCACATTCAAATGCTTAAATATATATTTTTTTAAACTTTTATTTTAAGCAAGGGTCTTTATTAAACTGTAAAAAAATACCATATACATTGATAATGGTATTCTCTTTAAAAATCTTGCTTTCATCGAAAGAAAATCGATTTTTTAACCGAAATTCGGACATTTTTAAAATTCAAAGTGATATCGCATGATCAATTTTTGTCGGATTTAAATAAAATTTACCCTATTTGTAGCTCTATTTATCTACTTTATTGTGATAAAATTTTAATGCAATCAAATAAAAATTGGCAACATGGAAATAATATCATCCAAAATTGGGTACTACGTGTACCACTTAAATAAACTCCTTGAATAGCTATTAATATTCACAGAGCCTATTTAAGTGGACAATTTTTGTGCCTAGGATTTTAGACCTGATTTTAAGTAATCTAATAAGAAGTTGTCAAAAATATTATTGTTTTTTTTTCTATTTTAACACTATAAAGTAGATAAATAGAGCTACAAATAGGGTAAATTTTATTTAAATCGGGCAAAAATCATGCTGTATCACTTTGAATTTTTAAAATATCCGATATTGGCTAAATAATCGATTTTCTTTCGATGAAAGCAAGATTTTTAAAGAGAATACCATTATCAATGTATATGGTATTTTTTTTAGTTTAATAAAGACCCATAGCAACATTACCAACTATCCTTGCTTAAATTAGAAGTTTAATAAAATATATATAAGAATTTGAATGTGCGCATATTTTATCGCAAAAACAAGAGCTGATTGAGCAAAATGCCATTTTTGGATTCAGCGTACCTAAATTACCCTTAAAAAGTTGTTGGTTGCCATGCACCAAACAGAAATTTTATTTTTGTCGGCCTGTGTAATTTTAGAAAATTTAAATTTTTCTTCTTGAAAAACCCTGAAATACCAAATTTTGGGCAAAAACTTTTGTTGGTATAAACATGTATTTGTTTTCGTAATTGTGAATTTAACAAAAAATTGATAGTACATCTTTAAATTACTACTACTATTTTATACGGAAAAATTTATATTTATTTAAACGTTCAAGGCGAAATGCTGGAGATGGAATGGTACACAGAGGTATCTGTTTGGGACAGCTTGGGAGTTTTGAGAATTTGTGTGTTTAGTTATGATTCCCAAACTCTTGGATTTAAACAAAACTAAACACACAAGCACATATTCCTAAAATTAAGCTGTCCCCAATTTACTTGATTTTTCAGCAATCTGAACAGTTTTCTCCGTGTAGTATTTTTGCATTATGTAATTTAACAGAGTGACAATTTTAAAAGTTTACTTAGGCTGTTATGTTTTAATGCCAATGGATAACAATAATTGTTTTAAACCATTTGGGTACCATGGCGGGGGAACTTAAATGGCTTTATTCATACTACCTACCCCTTAGGCTTAAACTACTCCCTGGTGACACATTATTTTAAAGGGAATTGAAATCTATTTGCAACCACATCATTTATTAATTTTACTAAAAAATCTAAATTTAAAAAAATATTGCTATTTGTTGCAGCTGTTAAGTATTTCATGGACCCTAGGGATCGTGCATAAAGTACGTCATATTTTTTTGGGGATATTAGATCTCCCCTGTCACTTATGGTTACAAGGTCTCGACCCCCTCCCCCTTATTATCACAAGTCACACTTAGTGATGTTTTTTAAACAATTTTATCGGTACTGTACCTACCGCACACGTTAAAGTATCGCAAAAAATAAGTAGGTCACTATCGCTTTGACCGCAAGGGAGTATGTAGGTGGCCTATTTATAAGCTTTTAGGGCGCGTTCGAAAACTCGAAAGAGTGCACTCTGAATACTCCCAAAGTTTACCTTGCACGTTCGATTTCTCTGGTATATACCTAGATATATACAACTATCAACTGTTCGAAAACAACAAGTATATGCCCAGAGTGCACTCTCGGTTGTCCAAGCTTTAGACTTGGTTAAGTTTTACCCGTCTGCGCATAGAGTACATCAAACAATAATTTGAATTTTTCTACATATAGGTTATGTATTTTGTTTGGTTTATCTCTGGTTGATGTTTATGAAGTTTTAATATGAGTGAATTTATTAGCAGCTGTAACTATTCTTTAGTTACCGATAATACTGGCAATGTGGTTGTATCAAATGATAGAGTCATGATATGTCACAACCAAAGTAAGTTTTATCTTATGTAGATGTATGTATATGATACGTAATATTATTACTATGTATTAATCTAGCTTTAGCCTATAATAAGTTTTGTTATTAATATTGTTGTTCGCTTTTAGTAATTTTTTCTATTGTAGCCCAAGAAATAAGGCAAATCACTACAGAGATGGCCGGGCAAATTTTTAAAGTAAGTTTTGTGGACCAAAATCAAAATTATGAGAATGACGCTTGTTCCATTGAGACTGCAGGGCCATCGGGATCTGTATCAAAAAATACCATTTGGACAAGGGAGGCAATTATTTGTCTTCTTGAAGTTTATAAAGAACGGCTGTCGGAGATATTGTCCACAACAATAAGAAATGAGGCTGCCTTCAAACATATTTCAGAAGACATGGGGAAATTTGGTTTTGAATTTACTGGTAAGATTTATTTTTTTTTTACAGTTATTTTCCTAATAATTTTTTTAAGGAACTCAATGTAGAGATAAATTTAAATACTTAAAAATGAAGTATTTAAAAAATAAGATAACATGAAGCAAACGGGCGCAGCCCCAATTAAATTCGAATTCTTTGTTGAGATGGATGCTATTTTTGGAGATAAACCGAATGTCCAGCCAGAGGCCCTGGCTTGTAATATGACGCCGATTGTGGAAAATGGTAGATAATATTAATTATGCTAAGTGCAATGTGACTTGGAATGCGTTCATATTTGAAAACAACCATAGGGGGAGCAAGTACTCCGGCGGCGTTTGCGGTTACTAAGACTGTGAGGTTTTCTTTGTCATCGTTGGTTCCAGCATTATAGATGTTTTTGTCGCCCTTCTTTGCCAATACCTTATCACCTTTGGGTTGGAGAAAAAACGCACTCTCGTCACAATTAAAAACACGTGTTGCCTCATTAGTTGTATCTAACAAGTTCTTAGATTCTAGGTAATCTTTGATTTCTTCGAACCATCGCCTAATTTGCTCTTCGGTAACCTTTTCTCGTGCGGGAGTTAAATTTTGTGCAAATCTTTTACTTAAACTTGGATGCCTTTTCAAAAATGAACTGAACCATTTTCTACCTGGGCGAGAGTTGCTGAAATGGTTGGGACGTTTCTTCTCTTGTAGTAAAAGTTGCACACTATCTAATAGCTGGTCTTTATGGACAGGGTGATGAGCCTTAGCTAAAGATAGTATCCATTGTTCTAGCAGATATTCTTCATCTTGGGTAAGGACTGTAGTTGGTCCCATCCGACATTCCACCGGTAACTTTCCTGAAGGTCACTCTTGGAACAGAGTATGTCTTAGCTGCTGTAGCAACGGGCATACCTCTTGCTACAGCTGCAAGAGCTTCACTCATCTGCTCTTTTGAATAGTTTTTTTTGGGTGCCATATCTGCAACAAATGAATTACCAATAATTGACATCTCATGTACCAATAATTGACACCCGTGAACCATTAATTTTTAAAAAGTCTTTTTAAGATATGTGCTTCCTGCATAAAATTCCAATGTTTTACTATGATTACATAAAAAATTTTACAGTTCCAATTATTGACACTTTTGTCAATAACTGGGACATATATCATTTTTTTGATCCAGTTATTGACACCCACGTTTAACCTCAAATAATGTGTGTTACTAATAAAAATACATTAAAAAATGTTTTAATTATACTTAAATGGTACTCTCAAATACCTGGAGTACGTTAAACATGAATTGTGTATATATGAAGGAAAAATTTATATTTGTTTTACTTACCTTAACAAAACACTTAAAATTTTTTCATATTACCGGCAACACAAACTTTGACATGTTGTAATAACTGAAAATATCAGCTGATTTCTGTCATAGTTGGTACAATGTTGCCAAATATTCTATAAATGGAATTTTTGTATTAGAGATGCCTCGCGAATTGTCACTCAGACAGTTAGAAATAGACTTCATGAAGTCCATCTACGTTCCAGAGTCCGACCTGTTAGGCCAAAGTTAACCCGTGCGCACCGAAGAGCTCGATTAACTTTTTCTCTAAATCATATCAATTGGGATATGGATCAGTGGGGACACGTGCTCTTTTCAGATGAGTCTAGATTTCGACAGCCACAACGATGCACGTGTACGATCATGGAGGCGTAGAGGTGAGCGTTCTTTAGATTCAACTGTAACAGAAACTGTTCACTTTGGAGGTGGCTCACTTATGGTCTGGGGAGGTATAACTTTAACGGGGCGTACAGGTTTGCATATCTGTAGGGATGGTGTGGTAAATGCTCATAGGTATTTGGAAGATATTGTAGAACCCTATATAGTCCCATTTGCCGCAGAAGAAGGTCCACAGTTTATTCTACAGCATGACAATGCGAGGCCCCACACTGCTCGTATTGTCACACAATATCTTAAGGAGAATAATATCGAGGTTTTAGAGTGGCCCGCAAACTCCCCGGATCTAAATCCTATTGAGCATCTCTGGGATGTTCTTCAGAGAAGGATAAGGGATTGTCCGGCACCAGAAAATTTGAAACAGCTAGGAGAAATGCTTCAAGAGGAATGGAACAATATTCCCAGAGAAGTAATCAGAAATTTAGTGGAATCGATGCCTAGACGATGTGAAGAAGTTCGGCTAGCCAGAGGAGGACACACACATTACTAATTTTGTTGAAAATATTATTTATAGTTTATTTAAAAAAAAAAACATTTGTGAAAAATTAAAGTTTTATTTTCCAAGCGTTTATTTTTTATTTGATTTATAAAATATATACTCCAGTTAAAACCCTAATGTTTTTCAGAACTAACAGCAGTTACAGAATGTAAAAAAAAGTTTTTGATTAAAAGTTATAAACAAGTTTAAAAGTGGTCCTTAATTCGTTTTGAGTAGTTTATAATATGTATGTAGTAATACAAAAATGTAAATAAAATATAACGTTACATAAAACAAATATTTAAATAAATTATTTTCAAACAAAACAACTTTAAGCTTTTTAAAATAATACAAACGGGTACAAGGGTTGACATTTCAAAACTTAGTCATCTAGGAAATTTTACAAAAAACATCAAATGCAGATGTAGGTATCTAATAGATTTTTGGAACAGCGCTATGGTTAGCTTAAAAACTCCAATCTTCCAACTCCAGAGAGTTCAAAAATACCAATTTTGACAGTCTTTTCCCTAATAGTCGATTTCGACCAGGTGTCATGGTTGCACCAGCTTTGGAAAATAAACGTTCAGATGGTACTGACGTACCAACCACAGATATATATTTAAATGCAATTTCTTTTAAAGTTTTGCTAACCAACGCGTTGTTCTAAAAATCTATTACATCTGCATTTAATGGTAGTGCAGGTTGTTTTAAATAGGCTTTTAAGTCTGCATAAATTCCTTTATCAGAATCATGATCCCTGTTTAAACTTGACTTCTCTACCAAATGCTGATGATACGACCAAACACTTTTTGATGCCACTGTGGGCATAGAGTGTGATTTTGATAAAGGAATTGTTTCACAAACTGAATCGCCTTTGTTGCACAAGTCACTAATAAAATTAATGGCTTCTGAACAAGCAACAATATTATTAAAGTGCAGTTTCTTAAACCTTGGATCAAGTAAAGTTGCAACAGATAGCAACAAAACTTGTTTCACTGCCCCAAAACGCTTTTGTGATTGTGACAGCATGCAACTTTTCGGCTACTTCAGTAGTAGGTACATATTTATCCAATTTTTTATCAAGCAGTTTATTATGGGGATTATTTTGCTTGAAGTCAGATATTTTTCTCCACAAATTTCTTTTGAAACTTCTTCAATTGGTTTTAGAATGTGGACAATTTCTCGAAGCACTTCTAATTCCATAGCATCAGTCATTGTTGGGGCATTTTTGTTTTCTAGCAATACAGGAGCTAAACAACCTGAAAGCTGTAAAAATCTCTCTAGCATGTAAAATACGGATTTCCATCGTGTGGGAACTGACTGTATTAATTTTAAGGGTGTGTCAACATTTTGTGCTTTCCTCATTTTGTCAGCCGCAAGAACACTATGCTTGAAATGAGCAACAATGTTTTTAACTTTAGAGATAACATTTTTGACACTTTCAGTCTCATTAATTATTTTAGAAGCAACAAGATCCAAAGTATGTGCAAAGCATGGTAAACTTTTATTTTTGCCAAAAACTTCTGACACTGCTTTTACCATGTTGCTGCCATTATCGGTAACCACTGCTGTTACCTTATCTAATTGAATATTCCATTCCTCACATAGGGATTTTAAACTCTCTCCTATATATTGCCCTGTGTGTCTCTCACTTAATTCCAACACAGACAGTGAAATGCTGTTCAATTTATTTTCAAAATAAAAATGAACAGTAAGACCCAAAAAACTTGTGGTGTTCATCGTTTCAGTCCATATGTCTGTAGTTAATGTCATATGATTGACTTGAATTAATTTATTTTTAATTAATTCAGATAGTACTTCATATTTTTTGTCAATCAAATTAGTGATGGCTTTACGTCCAGGGATTTTATAAAGTGGTGCAGCAGTTTTCAACAAATGTTTAAAACCCTCTTTGTCTGTGGTATTTAATGGCAGGTTATCCTTGGAAATGAAGTAAAGTATAGCATTTATCACTCTTGCAGATTTTTCACCACCTGCAAAAAATAGAAGAAAATAACACCCCGTCAGCATTTATTGAATTATTTTTTACCAAAAAATGAAGATATATCTCCAAATATATCGGAAATACTCCGTTGGGTCATTTTTAATGCCTCACTGGGTGGTTTTGACGAACAAGATGGCCCTGGTTGATTGTGGTCTTCAAATCTATCAATTGTAGAACGATCTGACATTTCCAAATCTGATAAGACCTCAGTTTGGTTTAAGGATCCTTCCTTGACGACGGCGGAACTTTCGGAACCCTATTTTAAAACATACAAAATGTATTAATGAAAGGTGACCATTGTAAAAAGTATATGCTTGTACATGTCTTACAGTACGACTCATATTAGATTTAACTTACCTTGTCCTTTTTAGGGGCATTCCAATTATATTTGGGATGTCGTCTTGCAAGGTGTTTTCTTAAATTGGTTGTACCTTCTGCACTTCTCACTTCACTGAGACAAAGTTTGCATTTGCCCCCATTATTTGTCTTAAAAAAAACTTTCCACACGTCACTTTTTAAGCGTGGCATATTTTAATGTAAATTTAGTTTAAAATTGCAGTCATATAACAAATATTGCACTTATTTCTAAATTGCACTGTACACAGCTTGGATATTTGAATATCACGTTTTGTTTTTATTAGGGGCGAAAACAGTGGCCTCTATGCTCACAGTTTTCTGCAGCCAATATCAATAATATATACAACCTTAGGCTATTGGACGCTAGAGGGCGGTCGTAAAAAGGTTTCACAAAAGTATTTAATTTTCTGTATTTTTATTTATGCAAACAAAACCGAAACGATACGATACTTGGTAAAAATCGCGGCGCTTAATCGCTTACGTCTAATCGCACCTAGTGGTCTGTTTACCTTACGTCGCCAGCTCCGGTAATCGACTAGTCGTGACAAAAATGACTAGTAGTGAACGTGTGTTTGCAGTACAGTTGCTTAAGGAAGAAGCAGAAGATGATGACAAAATTAATTGTAACAATTTTTTTTCAAACAAAGTATGTCTCGTGAAAAACACGTTTATTACAGAAACTTATCACTTTTGTCCATGTTTTTTGCTATTATTTTCCAAACATTATCCCGTACATTTTGGTCTTTATACAATTTATGATTTAAATTATACAATGCTGGATGAGTTGATACTTCGTGAATCAATTTTTCGTCTTTCGTTTTGGAAAATTTAAGTCGATTACCTTTGGAGCTCATTTTTCATCAATATTCGCGAGCGTTTAATTAAACGCGCACGTAAAAATCGCTACAAGACGCGTCGTCTTGTAGCGACTTGTATCGACTTATCGCTTAAACAAGACCATCACCATGATATGTGTATATAACCTATTGGCGCGATTAAACGCCGGCTTTAATCGCCTCGACTACTCGCCCAAAACAGACCGTACCTTAAAAGTGTTTTCAATTTAATTTTAATTGTTTTTACCTACAGTAACACGATTTTTTAAAACAGAACTATCACCTTGCACCCACCGATTGTTAATTTTAATTTTGTCATCTATAAATATGAGTAAAACACTGTTATAGTCGGAGCTGATTTTTGTTAACTAGTTAAACGAAACTCGGGACCGTATTCTTTTTATTCATTTAAAATGATGGATAGTATAATTTTAATTTTGTGAATTAAAATTATGTGCGTATAATTTGAATTCTGGAATTAAAATTATATGTGCATGGTTTTAATTCACATAATTAAAATTATACTATATATCATCTTAATTGAATTAAAATTATGCACACATCATTTTAGTACGCTCATTTAAAATTATACTCTACATAATTTTAAATCACGAATTAAAATTATACTCGACATCATTTTAATTCCAGAAATTAAAATAATGTTATACACCATTTTAATTCAAGCAATAAAAATTATATTATACATCGTTTTAAATAGTTGAATTAACATTATTATATAAAAAACATTGCAACTTAAAATAAGTTTCAAATAAAAATTAAAATATTTGTGCACCTATTAAAAATTAACTCATTGAATTGTAATTCAATATCAACCCCTTTGCAATATGGAGTTATTTCTTGTAACATTTCATTTTCATACAGTTACAATAATTTTTGACGATGAATTCAATATGTGCAAGGCAGGTATTGTTTCAGAAAAATTGATGTAATTGTAATAAGGTATCATAAAAATTGAACCGAATTAAACCGAAGATTTGGACAAATTAAAAATAAATTAAAATTAATTTCACCAAGTTGGCAAGCCCTTTTACTATTTAATGTATTTTAAATTAAATTTGTGTACAAGTAAATTTTAAATAAACCATTATCTATCAAACATAATTTTTTTTTATTTATTTATTAACCCAAAAAGATTACAAAAGAATCCATAACAGGTAACAAACATAATTATGTGGATACATTTCTCTTCTTTAATAAATACAACTTAACTAATGAGGTAAAAGTACATAGTAAATTCACATTTTTTATATATTCTGGCAGTTCATTAAACCATACCACAGCAGCGTGTCCAATTCTTCGCTGACCTATGTTTCTAGCACTAGGTAAAACATGATAATGTTGATTTGTCCTGGTGTTGTGCTGATGTATATTGCAGTTCATTTATAGAGTTAATTCGGTTTGTATCATGTTGGTTTTGATTTTAAATACTAATTTTAAAGAATCAAGTTTAATAATCTCGTGTATTTGAAACAATTTTAGATCATGATAAAGTATTGAAGTGTTTGTTCTTAGGACATTCTCTCTCAAACAAGAACAAAATATTAATTATAGAAATTGGAACACAATAGTCAAGCATTATAACATAATAAATACTAATACCAGGGGTGGAGCGATGGCCCAAGTGGACCCAATCCTAATGAGAAGAAAAAACCCTCCAACCCTGAAAACACAGTTATATCATTTTCAATTCCATTCCTAGAGGACCAGCTTCACATTTATTTAGTCTACATACATACATCCTAATAGTAAAATAGAACAAAATTTGTTTATTAAAGCCGCACAGAACAAATATGCAATAATAGTTGGTGATTTCAACATTGGTAACAATGTAAAAATTAATCCAAGCAAAACTAAAAAAGAACAGTTAAATGCATTCCTAAGAAACGCTTACTTTATTAAGCACCGACTGAACCAACATTTATAATGCCCAAAAACGAAGATTCTATTCCGGACCTTTTACTCTATAGTAAAAATATAAAAGAGAGCTTCTAAGGAATTGAACTACTGCCTGACATTGGATCCGATCACTTAGCCATGAAAATATCATTTAACTTAAAAAGCAAAATAATTCGGCATGAATCATTTAAATATAATTTCGAAAAATGTAACATAGAGGCAGTTAACAATACTCTTAAGGAATACATACAATGTGGAAAGGACATAAACCCAGAAAAAATAGAACAATTTCAGAAAAAAAATTCCAAGACGATATTAGAAAACACACCAAAAAAAAAGTACAGTTTTACAACTATGACCTTCCACCATATATCATAACATTGATAAAATCCAAAAGAAGAAGATACAGAGGATATAAAAGAAGTTTAAATCCAAATGAAAAAAGGAGCACAAACTAAACAATGATGTACATCAACTAATACAACAATACAAAAAACACAAATGGCTAGATACTTGCAAAAAAATAAACCACTCAAATGGCAGAAACTTTTTTTACCAAATCAAAAAACTAACAAAATACAAAACAAAAAAGAATGTACCTGATATTGAACATAACAATAAGATCTACATCACTGATGAAGAGAAAGTTGATATTTTAGCTGAACACTTTAAAGACATTTATACAGACAAAAACAATAAGATCTACATCACTGATGAAGAGAAAGTTGATATTTTAGCTGAACACTTTAAAGACATTTATACAGACAAAAACAACATAATGATTTTTTTTCTACTGAGACCAAAACAAACAAAGAACTGCTAGAAAATATCTATTTTGAAACCCTACATAAGATGAAAAATTTAGGACCCGGTTACGACAACGTTTTGTGGAGTGTCATTAAGAAATTGGATTACATCATACACCTTCACATAATCAAAATTTACGAATACTGTATAAATAACAATTACTTTCCACAAGCCTGAAAAAAAGGAATCATAATTGCTATCCCAAAAAACAACTCCGGCACAAATACAGTACAAAATTTCTGTCCTATCACATTACTACCAGTCCTAGGCAGACTATTTGAAAAAATAATTAGAAACAAAATATACAAACCTGTTAAACAGAAAATCCCACAGCACCAATATGGTTTCATGGAAGGCAGTTCAACCCTCCACCCAATAACAATACTAGCATCTAATATTCAAACCAACAGACTTAAAAACAAAAAAACTGCGTCCCTGTTGCTAGACATTCAAAAAGCATTTGATGGTATTTGGCACAAAGGCCTACTTTACAAACTGCATAAAATTGGCATACCCAGGCACTGGATTCACTTAATCAAACATTTTCTGGAAAACCGCTCCCTACAAGTTAAAGTAAATGACCAACTCTCATCAGAATTTAAACCACAGCAAGGAGTTCCCCAAGGGTTGCCTCTTTCTCCATTACTTTTTAATATTTATTGCTTCGACATCCTACAAAACCACTTAGCTAATGAAAACCAGTATATATTACAATTTGCAGATGACACAGGGATAGTATCACATGGTAGGAACTTGAAAAAATGCATTGAGGGACTTCAGGCACTGACAAATCTTTTAATGAAATGGTTTAAGTCTTGGAGAAACCCAACAAAATCACAACTTTTAATACTTAACCACACGATAAGTAACGACTCTCCAACAAATCAGATTAACAACCACATTATAAAACCACAGTCAGTAGTCAAATACCTTGGAGTTTATTTTGACAACAAATTAAATTTTAATTATCACACCAAGATGAATGAAGACCAACGCAAATAAACGCAGTAAACTATTTCCAGAAATGACATACAGAAACGAGGCACTCGACATAAATAGTGTAGTAACAATTTTAGAATATGCTGCACCAATCTTCTTAAACCTAAAAAACCCAGCGATTAAGAACATTGAAACATCAGAAACATCTGCCCTTAGAACCCTGACAAAACTTCGACATCCTGACAACCCCCTTCACAATCCCAGCAACAGACTGTTATATGAGAAAACCAAAGTAACACCAATAATGCAAAAAATCCTAGCGCTGTCCAAAAAATTTTCTCAAAAAGAAGACAACAGAGAAAAACTTAGGAACTGCATCCAAAGAAATAGAGACGATACA